TTTTTGATTCTATAAGTTAGTATTAGCAGACACTAGTCTTGTTTGTGTGATCCCTTTGACTCTTAGACCTATCAGTGTGATCAATTATGAACTGAAACTGATCACTTGGACTAGTGAGATGGCACTGGTACATGCCACCTTGATGGGATTGTATTGGAATCCCCTGGCACATTTCTAACTCCACCATTTGGGGCATGTCTGATTGAGCATGTCCCAAATTGTACATCTCCTTCCTCTCTTATTCCCACTCTTATATTTAACAGGGATCACTTTTCAGTTAAAATTTAAACACCTAAGAATAAATGTGTGTTAATTACAGAGTTCAACCAATAGTACTAGAACAAAAAAAATACTAAAAGGGATAAAGTATTATATTGTACATCAATAGTCAGGACAAGAGCTGATCAAGTCACTGTTTCTCATGGTGTCCATTTCACTTCAACAGGTTTCCCCTTTGGTGCTCAGTTAGTTGTCGCCGATCAGGGAGAACATATGATATTTGTCCCTTTGGGACTGGCTTAATTCACTCAGCATGATGTGTTCCAGATTCCTCCATTTTGTTGCAAATGACGGGATTTCATTGTTTTTGACTGCTGTATAGTATTCTATAGGGTACATGTCCCATAATTTCTTTATCCAGTCTACTGTTGATGGGCATTTGGGTTGGTTCTAGGTCTTAGTTATTGTGAATTGAGCTGCAATAAACATTAATGTGCACACAGCTTGTTTGTTTGCCAATTTCATTTCCTTTGGGTAAATTCCAAGGAGTGGGATGGCTGGGTTGTATGGTAGCGTTATATTCAGGTTTCTGAGGACTCTCCAGACTGACTTCCATAGAGGCTTAACCAGTTTGCATTCCCACCAACAGTGGGTTCGTGTCCCTTTTTCCCCACATCCTCTCCAGCATCTGTTGTTGGTAGATTTCTGAATGTGAGCCATTCTAACCAGGGTGAGGTGAAACCTCATTGTGGTTTTGATTTGCATTTCCCTGATTGCTAGTGATCTTGAACATTTTTTCATGTGCCTGTTGGCCATTTGGATTTCCTCTTTTGAAAAGTGTCTATTGAGGTCCTTGGCCCATCTCTTAAGTGGGTTGTTTGCTTTGATGTTTGGAGTTTCTTGATTTCTTTGTAGATTCTGGTTATCAACCCTTTATCTGTTGCATAGTTTGCAAATATTTTTTCCCATTCTGTCAGTTGCCTCTTCACTTTCCTGACTGTATCTTTTGAAGTACAGAAACTTCTCAATTTGATGCAATCCCAAATGTTAATTTTGGCTTTGACTGCCTGTGCTTCTGAGGTCTTTTCCAAGAGGTCTTTGCCAGTACCTATATCTTGCAGGGTTTCTGAACTCTACTAAGAGGCTATTGGAACTCATAGAAGAGTTTGGCAAAGTAGCAGGATATAAAATCAATGCACAAAAATCAACAGCCTTTGTATACACAGGCAATGCCACGGCTGAGGAAGAACTTCTAAGATCAATCCCACTCACAATAGCTACAAAAACAATCAAATACTTTGGAATAAACTTAACCAAGGATGTTAAAGATCTCTACCATGAAAATTACAAAACCTTAAAGAAAGAAATAGAAGAAGATACCAAAAAATGGAAAAATCTCCCATGCTCATGGATTAGAAGAATCAATATCATCAAAATGTCCATTCTCCCAAAAGCAATTTATACATTCAATGCAATACCAATCAAGATACCGAAGACCTTCTTCTCAGATCTGTAAAAAATGATGGTGAAATTCATATGGAGACACAGGAGACCTCGAATAGCTAAAGCAATCTTATACAACAAAAACAAAGCCGGAGGCATCACAATACCAGATTTCAGAACATACTACAGGGCAGTTGTAATCAAAACAGCATGGTACTGGTACAGAAACAGATGGATAGACCAATGGAACAGAATTGAAACACCAGAAATCAATCCAAACATCTACAGCCAACTTATATTTGATCAAGGATCCAAAACCAATCCCTGGAGTAAGGACAGTCTATTCAATAAATGGTGCTAGGAAAATTGGATTTCCACGTGCAGAATCATGAAGCAAGACCCCTACCTTTCACCTTGCACAAAAATTCGCTCAACATGGATTAAAGACTTAAATCTATGACCCGACACCATCAAATTATTAAGGATTTTAATTTAAAAATACCAAGCTTTTAAACTGCTTTAGCAGAAATTTGGTCCTATTGGATGGCCCAGTATTATCTAAAGCTTTACTTTCATATTTAAATATTGTACTGATTCCTACCAATCTTATTTATGAGAACTTTCCATCTATCTTCTGCCTGTGGCTTGCATGTTTCAGTGGTGACATCTAAGTGTAGTGCCAATATTCCATCTTTCTGCAAACCTCTTTCTGCAGAATGAGCAATTCAGTTGGTTTGTGATTATGAATAATGAATTTCTGGGCCAGCACTGTGGCCTAGAGGGTTAACCCTCCACCTGCAGTGCTGGCATCCCATGCTTACTGCTGCATGTCTGATCCAGCTCCCTGCTGATGGCCTGGGAAAGCTGTGGAAGATGGCCCAAGTATTTGGGCCCCTGACCCACATGGGAGACCCAGAAGAAGCTTCTGGATCCTGGCTTTGCCCTGGCTCAGCCCTGGCTGTTGAGGCTATTTGTGGAGTGAAACCTCAAATGGAAAATCTTGCTCTCCCTCTCTCTCTCCTTCTCTCTGTCTTTCAAATAAATAAATCTAAGAAACAAGAAAAACCCGCTACAACATTCTTATTTCTTTAAAAAAGCTAAATTAAAAATAAAAGAATAATGAATTTTTCCAACTGCTTAAAGTCTAATAACTTTGCCAAGACAGGTCTCAGTACTGGCAGCTTCATATCAGATTTTCCTGAGTTATGTTGTGTTCATTAAAGAAAGGTCTTCTTTTAGTGAAAAGTTTATCCTGCTATGAATTTTGAATTTTTCGTTTTCATTTCTTTCCCAAGAACAATAAACACAAAAGTGCTTCAGGCGCCAGATTCTGTCCTGGTTGCCCCTCTTCCAGTCCAGCTCTCTGCTGTGGCCCGGGAAGGCAGTGGAGTATGGCCCAAGTCCTAGAGCCCTGCACCCGCATGGGAGACCAGGAGGAAGCACCTGGCTCCTGGCTTCGGACTGGCGCAGCGCGCCGGCCATAGCGGCCATTTGGGGGGTGAACCAATGGAAGGAAGACCTTTGTCTCTCTCTCTCTCTTACTGTCTAACTCTGCCTGTCAAAAAAAATAATAATAAAAAGAGTGCCTCAAACAGTTTGTGGAAAAATGGAATCAAAATATGTTTTCTTTAGATGCAAATGTTCTGGAATGCACACACAGTTTTACACATTTTCCATGAGCTTTTGAGGCTGCTCAGATGCCTGGTATTAGATATCCTCTGTCCCATATCTGTAATTTCTTCTCCAAGCCTGTATCTGCTGTGCTCTGTTCATTTCACTTTGCTAGTTTTCTGTAGTCTCTGCAGCACAAACCTCCATTCAGATATCTAGGCTTTGAGTTGCTTTTGATGTAGTCTTCCTTTTTCTTCAGGTATTTTTCTTTCATTTCTTTTCTGAGCTCTTGCAGATCACTTTAAAATTCTTCTCTTATTTTATTATCATTTTACAAAGTGTATTTTTTGAACTCTTGCTTTATCAACTCTCTACTTAATTTCTTTGAAAGGAAATACATTTTTCCATTGTTTTCACCTGCTTTGTAACTTGATTTTATTTATTTATTTATTTGATGGGGAAAAGAAATTTCCTTTGTCTTTGTTTCTCAGGCTTTCTTATATTTTGAGCAAAGGACTGACACGTAGAACCCATGCTGGTTCACACTTTTACTATTACTCAATTTAAGTGGGGCCACTGTGACAGGCCAGTTATACAAGATGTGTTGGATGGAAGGAGGCACCTAGTGTTTGAGCTGGGACGTTAGCTTAGCTCTCAGCCTTTCAGCTGGGGACATTTGGCCAGGAGCCACCTTCCCTCAGGTAGCAGGTGGTCAGCAGGCTTCATGAGGCAGCCTTGAAGGTCACAGCAGGGTGATGGGACTTTACGTTCATCAGCAGCTGCCTAGCTGTCACCCCGTTATGTTCTTCCACCCTCACAAAGGAATGTGTTGTTAATGAAATGTCTGAAGAGAGATAACTATATTAAACATATGAGGACATGGCGAAAAAAAACAACAAACCCTTTTCCCAAGGTTGTGAACATCTACACTGACCCTGGACTACAAGAACGTTGGCAAATGGAGAAAATCTGAGCACATGGATCCTGGTACAGAGGTGTTCCTGGGTGCTGAGGGCCTGCAGGGCAAATGCCTCCCCAGTCTGACCTCTATTGTGCATCAAAAACAAATAAAACTTGCCTGGCCCTTTGTCAAAAATCTCATCTCTTGTGATTAGGAGACGTCAAAATATAAGGACCCTGGACACAGCGTTTATGGAAAACTGTATCTGAGATGCTTGCTGTAGTGGAGGGAATGGCCTCAAGTCTGCTGAAGCAAAGGCTGCAGGGCTGTGCAGCCTTGGGTGTGAGTGGGTGGATGTATGGCAACCTGTGTTTGTGAATTGGCTTTGTCCGGAGGACAGGTAAGTTTTCTGCCATCTTCATGGCAGGAAGTAATTTTGCAGTCTGCACCAAGGCACCTGCTGAAGTTAGTTAGGCTCCTCTCCTGGCTCAGAGTCTGGGGGAGAGGAGTGCCACAGTCCTGGGCAGTGCCATGTCACAGGGGTGCCCTAGATCCCTGAGAAAGATTTCCCCTGAGCGTTGGGGCTGTCAGGAAGCTAGTAAGGAGAAGTATGCATGTTTCAAAGAAGATGAGGAAAGAATTTATAAATACAAATTCCCAATCATAGAAGCTTTATTTTAGGATGAAGAAAAGGGGGAACTGGGGCCCTGGAATCAGAACCCTCCTCCAGTCTAGTCAAGCTGAGGACAATGTTAAGGCCCTCCAGGGACAGGGCTCCTCAGGTGGTTCTTCCCTCCCCTTCCTTCCATTTTGTTGCCTCTCCCAGCTCATCTGCCTGAGCCTAGCCTCTGCACCACCTCTCCTGGGGTCACGCTGAGCCTTGGAGCCACATGGAGCCTGCAGAGTGGAATGGAGCCTGGGGAGCCTGCGGTGGAGGTATGGCTGTGTGAGCTGGCGGGGAGCCTGGGTGGAGGAGGGGCCAGGCAAGAGAAGAGCTGGGGACTGGAGAGCAGCCTGCTCCTCCCATCCCCTCACATAGGGTCCCACGTGGCTGAGGTCCCCAGCCTGCCTTCCTTTGCATTTCTGCTTTAAGCCTCTGTGCCCTCTCGCTGCAGGGTCTGCTCCGGTCTGCCTGGGCAGTCAGAAGGTAGAGCAAAGGATGGGCTGGCAACAATCTCTGCCAGTCTTAGAAGCGTCCAGAATTCGTACCATTTACATCAATGACCCCCTGAAGAACATTTTCTGCCAAAACTGGATCAGGTGAGATAAGCGGATGTAGCTGGGAGGAGAGGAAGGAAGAAGTTCTGGTGCCCACTCCCGGTAGGTCTGCTCCTGTGACTGCATGCTAGGGCTGCGGCTGTTTCCTGCAGCCTTCAGGGAGTTCCGGTTCTCAGGTTCACTACCAACAACAGGTTCTGCTCTTACTTGTTTCTGCTCATGGCCGTGACCATGCAGCCCACTGCCGACTGACAGAACTCTGGCAGCTCTGTAAATATAAGCTGACCTGCTTTCCTAGGGCACCTCACACAGCTGCTGAACTCCCACGAGCATACTGATTAGGGCGACTGCACATTGAGCTTCTTAGGGATTCTCTCTCTGAGGAATTTGCTGAGCTGAGTTCTTACTGCAGAGGCAGAGTTAGATGAAAACTTGAAGGAAAGGAAACTATAAGTCCACCACAAACACACCAAACACTGGAGTAAGGAAAGGGTTTACTGATGGGGAATCTGACAGGCCAGAGGAGAGGGCGAAGAAGAGAGGGTGAAAAGGGGAAGGGGTCGAGAGAGAGAGAGAGAGAGAGAGAGAGAGAGAGAGAGAGTTCCTGTGTGGGAAGCAGCTGCTGTTGTACTCCTGCAGGGGGTAAGGAAGTGGGAGCAGCGAATCCCATTAGGCTGGGGGTGGAGCTGACACTTGTGGTTGGGCTGGTTGGTCGGTCAGCTGGCATCTAGTGAGTGAGGTTGGTGATGGGGCCAGAGCCTTAGATGGCACCACAGATAAGACACCCTTTTACTAACAGAAACTAATTTTTTATTATTTAATTATTTTCATCTACTTGAAAGGCAGAGCGTCAGTAAGAGAAAGAGAGAGAGAAAGAGAGAATGAATCTTCCTTCTGGTGATTCACTCCCCAAATGCCTGAAATAGCCAGGGCTGGACCAAAGAGACCACGAGCCAGGAACTCCTTCCTAGTCTCCCACATGAATGGTAGGAACCCAATTACTGGGACATCATCTGCTGCCTCCAAGGATGCACCAGCAGGAAAAGCTGGATCAGCAGTGGAGCTGCTGGGACTTGACCTTGCACTCCAACATGGGGTGTGGGCATCCCAAGTGGTGCCACAATGCCCATCCAGAAGAAAACCAGTGTTTCCCAATTTTTTTTAAAGATTGACCTATTTATTTGGAAAGTGGAGTTCCAGAGAGGGAGAGGGAGAAGCAGAGGCAGAGGGAAGACTTCCATCTGCTGGTTCACTCCTCAAATGGACACTGGGGCTAGGCTGGATATAAGCCAGGAGCCAGCAGATTCTTTTTTTTTTTTTTTTTTTTTTTTTGACAGGCAGAGTGGATAGTGAGAGAGAGAGAGAGACAGAAAGAAAGGTCTTCCTTTTGCCGTTGGTTCACCCTCCAATGGCTGCCACGGCTGGCGCGCTGCAGGCCGGCGCACCGTGCTGATCCATGGCAGGAGCCAGGTGCTTTTCCTGGTCTCCTATGGGGTGCAGGGCCAAGCACTTGGGCCATCCCCACTGCCTTCCCGGACCACAGCAGAGAGCTGGCCTGGAAGAGGGGCAACGGGACAGAATCCGGCGCCCTGACCGGGACTAGAACCCGTGTGCCGGCACCGCTAGGTGGAAGATTAGCCTATGAGCCCGGCACCGCTAATCTTCCTTTGCCGTTGGTTCACCCTCCAATGGCCGCTGCGGCCGGCGTACTGCTGGCGCACCGCGCTGATCTATGGCAGGAGCCAGGTACTTGTCCTGGTCTCCCATGTGGTGCAGGGCCCAAGTACTTGGGCCCTCTCTGCACTCCCTGGCCACAGCAGAGATCAGCAGATTCTTCCAGGTCTCCCACATAGTGCAGGGACCCAAGGACTTGGGTCATCTCCCATTGCTTTCCCAGGCACATTAGCAGGGAGCTGGGTTAGAAGTGTAATAGCTAGAACTCAAACTTATACCCATATGGGATGCTGGCACTGCAGATGGCATCTTAACCCTCTGTGCCACAGCACCAGCCCCTCAGCTCCTACTTTTTTTTTTTTTTTTTTTTTTTTTTTTTTTTACCAGCATTAAGATCAGGTTGAATACAATAGCTGTA